CCGGCACTGGGGGTCGCGAGCTAGCCGCCGTTTTCGTTAGCATTAGCGGCTAGCATTAGCGGCTAGCATTAGCATTAGCGGCTATCATTAGCGGCTAGCATTAGCATTAGCGGCTATCATTAGCATTAGCAGCTAGCATTAGCATTTTTTTCTTTTTGGTCTTTATTGGTGAAAAGGGGCAAACTGAACACAAAGGGGGTTGGGGGCTAGCTTGCTAGCATTAGCAGCTAGCATTAGCATTTTTTTCTTTTTGGTCTTTATTGGTGAAAAGGGGCAAACTGAACACAAAGGGGGTTGGGGGCTAGCTTGCTAGCATTAGCAGCTAGCATTAGCAGCTAGCATTAGCTTTTTTCTTTTTGGTCTTTATTGGTGAAAAGGGACAAACTGAACACAAAGGGGGTGGGGGCTAGCTTGCTAGCATTAGCAGCTAGCATTAGCATTTTTTCTTTTTGGTCTTTATTTGAAAAAACAGTACACAGGGGAGTGGGTGCTAGCTTGTTAGTATTAGCAGCTAGCTAGCATTAGCATTTTTTTTCTTTATTGGTGAAAAAGCAGGGACAGAAGGTGACAGAGAAGGGGGGCTAGCTTGCTAGCATTAGCAGCTAGCTAGCATTAGCATTAGCATTTTTTTTATTGTCTATTGGTGATTAAAACATGGACAAGCAGAACACAGGGGGGTGGGCGCTAGCTTACTAGCATTAGCAGTTAGCAATAGCATTAGCATTTTTGATTTGATTCTTGGTGAAAAAAATATGAACAAGCAGAACATGTGGTGGGGGCTAGCTTGTTAGCATTAGCAGTTAGCATTAGCATTTTTTAAATTTTTTTATTATTTATTGGTAAAAAAAACTCAGACAATCAGAACATGTGACTGGTGGAAAGAATGGAGGGAAGAGATTTATAACTTTTAATTGACATTTATTATATTTGATTTGTTTCATTTGGAGTGGTGTTTGTGTCACCTGATGTCTCATGATGATGTCAGTTCAGTGTTCCCTCTCTTTTAGCTCTGTATTTGGTCTCCATGAGCTCCTGAGGGAAATCTGTCTCTTTAGCTTCTTATTGCTCCATATATTCAGCAGCTGCTCTCGGACCGTGTCTGTCTGCTGTTTGCTGCTGAGGAGGTCGTGGACAGTGCATCATGTGCTGTGGTGCAGTGGATGGATGGGCATCGGTTGAGAAAACTAAGGTCTAGTCGGCACTAGCTTGCTAGCATTAGCATTAGCAGCTACCAATAGATTGTACTAAAATCACACACAAATATTAGTTTTTGCCCGTTGCTTGAACACATTTTGCAAAACTTCGCTCATTGTGCCAAAACTCTACATACAAGTAAACATGACACAACACTGGGAAATATACCATTCACATCTGTGTCAAATTGAAACTCTACTATCAAAACCTAAACTCTGCTATCAAAACCTAACAATCCTTTGTCAAAATGTAACTCTGATGACAAAATGACACACACTTGCATCATATGCATACACGTTCAGATCAGGGGGAACACACTAGTCTACTACATGTTTTATATAAAACACTGCAGTCTTTGATTTTCACTGTTTATTCAGAAGGCACATTTTCAGGAGGCACATTTTCAAACAACCAAAAAAGCAAATATGCCTACTCAATATTGTACATTGTAGCACTGTACATTGCAGTAACATGAATTCAGATAAAGCAAAAAAAAAAAAAAAAAATAGAAAATGTTGAAAAAATTGTGATACTTTATGATTAACATAACCATCTTAGAGGGAAACTGTATTATCCTGAATAGAACTGTCCATTATTGTGTTTACTTTTCAGTCAGGTATTGTCCGAGAGGAGCGCAGTGACCTTCGCTGTTCCTCCTGGCCACTACACCAAAACATTAACTATGATAAGGCTCTATTATGTCTAGTCTCATTTCAGCAACGATGCAGGGTCTCACATATTCTGTGTATAAAATTCTGTGTGAATCTTGCATCTGTTGAACATTTGCACTGTGAGCTCTGGTGTGTAACTTGTTCCCTTGCTGCAAGAATAAATATCCTACTCTTATAATTTTCAGACGGTGTTCCTGAGTTTTATTTGATAATTTTCCTAACAGAAAAAACACTATACTGTAAACACAGAAAATCATGGCAATTGTGCATACGTGGGCTCATGGATCCCGCCGTCTGTTGGGGTCTGGCCACAGGACCTAATCGACATCACAAGCAATGTCTTCTCCCGCTAGGCACTGGGGAAAATATCCCCTTGCATGTCGAAACCATCCATGGATTGCTGCCACCTGAATGTCGCCGCAGGCCTGTTCCATTGCCTGCAGAAGAGGTATGCGGGCATGTGGTTGGCGGTCATATACATGCCATCTCCAAGCCGAAAATAATTCCTCTATAGGGTTTTAAAATGGTGAGTAAGGGGGCAAGTATACCACTTCAAATTGATTGTGGTTGGTGAACCAGGCCTGGACCAGAGCAGCCCGATGGAAACTGACATTATCCCATACCACCACAAACCTGAGCTGATCGGGTCTGTTCTGTACAACTATATTATGGAGAGCATCTAGAAATGTGAGTATATGTTGGGTATTGTATGGACCTAGTATTGCATGATGATGCAGAAGCCCTCGAAGGCTTATGGCGGCACACAATGTGATATTTCCCCCGCGCTGCCCTGGGACGTGCACAATTGCCCTTTGGCCAATTATATTATGACCCCGTTGTTTTGTTTTGCTCAGGTCGAATCCAGCTTCATCAATGAAAATGAATTCATGAGGCTGTGCAGCTCCATCCATGGCCAAGATTCTCTGTAACAAAAAAAACAAACCATATTACTACAGTGCTACACATACAGAACCCCCACCCCATCACACAGGTACCTGTGTAGCTCTCCGAATGGATCCATGTGGTACTGATATGGTACATATTCAGCTGCTACTGGATTTCACCAATACTCTATTGTAAATGTAAAGGACAGGTACACTTACATATTCACGTCGAAGTCCTTTGACCCTGACACTGTTCCTCTCAAATGGGACCCTGTAGAGCTGTTTCATGGTGATGTTGTGTTTTCCCAAGATGCATCTGATGGTGGTGATGCTCACATGGTTTATGTTGTTGAACACTTGCCTGTCTGCAAGTATTTTCTGTCGTAGCTGGTGGAGTAGGATGGCATTGTCTGCCCTCACTAGGTCCACAACGGCAAGTTCCTGCTGTTGTGTGAACAGGCGTTGGCGCCCTCCCCCAGAAGGTCTCCTAGTCATTCTAGAGAAATACAACCACAAACTGTCATTGGTTTGCTTCTTTTTCTTACAGTACTATATATACTGCACTTTACTGTATATAATGTATCATCCACTGTACTGAAACATCTCAATATAAGTAATCATGGTATGTTTCACAAAAACTACCACTTTGGCTGCAAAAGGAGCATTAGCACCCTGCAATACCCTGTACACGTGATGTGGTAATGTGATATACTGTAGTACAGTACTGTAAATACCATCTGAGTAGAGTAGAAGGTAGAGAGGTGAAGACATACCTGTCTTCCAGTCGTAATGTTCTTATTACAGATGCCACTGTGAAGCGGCTTAGATGTGGGTGGACTCTCTGCCCAGCTTCCCTCATAGTCAGACCATGGTTGATGACATGGTCCACCAAAGTTGCTCTTATATCATCAGAAATAGGGGGCCGTGCATGGCCTCTTCGACCTTGACCTTGTCCTCTTCCTCTTGCTCTACCTCTGCCTCTCGCTCTCCCTCCATCCATGCTTGCAAAGTTCTTAAAATGGCTAAACTGGGGGCTTTTTGTAGCTGGCTGATTGGTGTTCAGTTTTGCAAGTAAGTGCCTTCAGGTGTGTATTTGAATGGTTGCAATTACCCGATGTGTTTTGTATTTTGGAAACGTGTTTTCCAAATGGCAGCCTGAGATTTCATTTTTGAACGAAGTGTCTTATGTATGAAATAGAGTGTAGTATGCAGGACCAAGTGTGTTGCATAAAGGAGTAAGTGTGTTGCAGAATTGCAATTAGAGTGTAAAGCAGCGCTTTTGTTTAAGGTATGGGTACATGTGTTTGAGGTATGGTAACAAAAGCTTCAAGCTGTGTTACTTTAGTCTAAGCATGGGTCTATAGTGTTCAAGCAACGGGCAAAAACTGTATCATTAACATGTGAAACCTTTGTCTCTCTCCCTCCAGGTGTCAAAGAAGCTGCTGGTGCTGCTTCTGAAACAGTTGCCTGGGTTACCAATGTTGCTGTGTTGGGTTGATAACGCCACATCTTGTCACATTGAGGCATAGCGGTCCCAGCTGGAGGGGAAGCACAGGATGCTCAGCCTGACTGGTGCCAAGGTGATCCAGAGGATCTCCTGGGAGGAGTGGAGGCTCCACTGTTGGAGGAGGACACATTGGGCGGAGGAGACGGCCCTCCTCATCCAGGATCTCCACGTCGCCCTGGACGTCTCTTTGCTGGATTCTCTCTGCATCCAGGACATATGGAGACACAGAGGAGCCGCCTCAGCTGCACTCAGGACCCAGCAGGTGCAGCTGTACAGAGACTGGTAGACTGACAAAGGGCGGGGTCAGCCTTCTGGTTTCCACCTTAACCAGTTCATCCCAGGTACATGCGTGTGTCTGAGCTTGTGATTAAGTATAATGTGTATTATCATTTCATGCAAACATAAAAAAAAAACAACTAAGTTTGGCTCTAATAATGAAACATTTGAACTTCTACTTAAATAAAAGTAGCAGTACCACAGTGTACAAATATTCTGGTACAAGTAAAAATTGTATTCAAATTGTTTTATGCTAAAACCAAAGTATATTAGCATTAAATTATACTTCAATTAAGCAGTACAAGTAAAAGAGTAAATGTCCTCTGTTACATCCCAAAACTGCATTTTATCAGATAATGTGGCATCCAGAGTGAAAGAGATCAAACAAACATTACAGCAAAAATAAAACTTTATTTGGAAAAAAAAAACAACTTTATTCCCAAACAGAGGAAAATAAAATCACAATATTAAATCTATGTTTGATTCTTACATTTACAGAATCACAGTGATGCTTGTCTCTGTAACAGTCTATTGTTTGAATGGACCAGAATGAGCTTCATGACGGACGTGAACAACAACAGTGTCTCTGTGTGGGACCTGAAACTTCTTCACTTTGGCTCCATCTAGTGGCTGAATCACAAACAACAATGAGGCAGGTGATGGTTCACTGGTTAGAATTGACTCACTTTTTCCACCAGAACAATGTGAATTCTGGTATATCAGATAAAAATGATGAGCTCAGGTCGCTCTCATGTATCACGTCCTGTCAGAGGTGAACAATAACAACATGGTGTGAACTTGATGCCACTGTAAATTCACTAAATCTGCGTTCGTACAGCAGCAGGGATTTCTTTTTTCCAGAGCTTGGTGCATTCAAGAATAACTGACAGACAAGAGTCAGCTGCTGAACAACTTTCTGAATGTAAAAACAAATAATCACATTGTCCTTTTTGAAAAAGATTTCACTGATCTCTGACCAGTTTGTTCGTTTCTGCTGCGAAATGCGAGTCGCAGGTAGTTTCACAGGTTGTCAGAGGTGTGATGTGAGGTCATATCACGACACAGCCTCCCTGAGAAATGGGAATACAATACAAGCAAACACTGCAGGGGACAATCACAGAGATAAAACAAGATTAAAGAACAGGAAGGGATCACAGAGGAGCAACATGAAACACTACTGACGTGGTTTGACATGTCGGACCGGCACCAAGCTTGTGTGTTCACATGAGCTGCAGGTCCACTGTCCCTCTGATGCCTTTTTAATGGTCAAAATCTAACATTTAATGAAATGAACCTTTTACCAAAGCCTTAAAAATTCTTATAGTTCAGGTTTTGACAAAAGGTTGTTAAGTCCCTGAAGTGGAGAAGAGCTGTTCAGGTCCCCATGAAGGCAGCAGCTAACTACCTTTAAGACAGCATTAGGTAAACATAAGAAAACCCCTGTCAGGGGTCGTGGAGTATCTTCGTCCACAGCTGGTTTTCAGTCCTGAATGTGGACAGGAAATGTTTCAGACGGCCAAAAATATCAGTGTGATCGGCAAAACGGGGCAAAAGGCAGAAGATAAATCCAGCACTGAGAACCTTGATCTCCTCGGACGTTCAGCACCGTAGATAGAAGACCTCCGAGAATTCACCGTGACTGAAAACAGCTGAGAAAGTTCTTCTCCTTCACCGGAGAGAGAGAGAAATCTGCTCCTGTCCTCCGCTTCCTCCACCCGAAACGTCAGAGCCTTTAAAATACCTCTGTTTCAGCACTATCACAGTTCTGCTGCAGTTAAAGTTCCACCAGGGAGTTTGATTTCTAATCAGCCAATCGAACGTTGATCACAGACTGTGTGGCGGTACACCATGACATCACCGGTGGGTGTGGTTACAGGTGATTCCACCAGAACAGGTAGTGAAACACAGCTTTCAAGCCTGATTACAGTTTTTTTTTTAGTACCAATACACCTTGTTAACCTGTAACATCTGCTATAATAAACTATATATTTACATCATCTTAACACTCTGGCGTCTGGAGGGTGGACACCTGACCCGAACCCGACGGGACCCTGGACAAAAACGTATAAATGGTGTTTGGATTCGGTCACGTCAGCCTTTAACAGTCGTTTCCAAACGTTAAAAACAGAATGGTTGCCGGGTTACGACTCCCTCGTACGCAGGTCGGGTTGGGTTTCCGGTACATTCAGGCAGCTTCGTCCAGGAGTCTCTGCAGAGTCTTCTGCACCTGCAGGAACAGACGGTGTGTGTCACTGTAACTGCTCAGTTAATGACGCTCGTTCATGTAATATCCACTGATGATAATCAATGTGTTTTTACAGATAAATATGTAGAATTTAAAGCCACTAGTATGAATGAATGTTCATCCCAGGTGGTAATCTAGGTGAGTTATTTAGCGGAGCAACCTATCTTAGCATGAAATGAGGGTGAAACAGCTAGCAAGTCCAAACAACAGTGTAATGTAGGTCAGGTGACTAAATGAGTGAGTTTGAGAGCAATAAACTTTTTAAATAGAAAGAAAGAAATCCAATTGATTCACTTTGGTATAATTTTATATAAATATAATAATATTTCAACTCAGATCCGTTTCCAGTTCTCAGTGAATATTTGCAGATGCAGTGGATTTGATTCACCTCTGCTGATGTAACTGTAGTTTGTTTTAAACAGGTTGAAGATGCTGCAGTTTGTTTGTAACGAGTGTCAGACACAGAGTGACGGACGGGAAACGAGCTCCTCTTACAGATGACGTCCACACTTCTGTACGAACAGATCACTGACTATAAATGTTTGATTAACGGCCACGAGTGTCCGCTTACACTCGGCTCTCTGCAAACGTTTCTGTAGTGAGGTTTCACATGTTGATCCAAATTTACACTGTTGAAAAGCATTTTAAAAAGTCATTATGTTGGAGAGTTAACTAAAGTTATTTTGGCTGCATCAAAAAAGAACCTCCTCCTTTTACTTTTGATTTGATTGTCACAGAATCACAGACTGTGTTCAACACCGACCGACAGATCAGACAATGAAGGACTTTAGTTCCGAGATTTTTTAGTCTCATTCACAGTCTTTCAAGTTTTTTGATTCAGAGGGTTTTCCTCCACGTTATATCAACTGACCTTCTCCAGCTTCATCAGGTTGATGGTGAGTAGTTCTGAGAAAAGCTGTGTGTTCACGTCAGGACCCCCCCGCAGGAAGTCGCCTCTGGAAAAACAAACACTGGGCATCAATTCTTAATTATTCTCAGAAAAGATCTCATCATGTCTTATCTTAACCTTTACTTGCAGCTGCTTTTGAAGTTGTGAAGCTGAGGCAGGTGCAGGTGTTTGAACAAGTAGGAAAACATATGAATAATGACCACAGCTCTTCCACTTCAGTTTTTTTTTTCCAGGCTTGGTTTTCCATGTTTTCCGGGACCTTCTGGACGAGCTCAGTGTCTCGGACGGGACGTGGACTCACTCTTTGTGGGTGAAGTCTGTGACGGAGCCGAGCGTCGTCAGCGTCTGCTCCAACGAGACGATCTTAAAGGCCAGGTAACAGGAAGACAGGACCAGGACACACACTCTGAGGAAACACACACACACACGCACACACACACAGTAAGTGAAAACAGTGAAAACAAAAACATAATGAAGTAAATAAATGAATGAAGGAGTGTGTTAATGAATGCAGTATTAGATTAAGAAATAACTGAATTAGCGTATAAAGTTTGTAATAAATAATTCCATGAATGAATGAATGAATGAATGTAAACTTACAGAAACAGGTAGACAAACAGCAGAGTGTTGAGAGAAACTGGTTTCAGAGTCCTGCTGTCAATCATGACCTCTGAGCCTGGAAACAGAAGAAAATGATCTTTGTTAAACACTTTTTCTATAAGATTTTACGGAAAGTCCAGTGGCTGGTTTTTATAACCTCACATAGCTGGGTTATAAAAACACGTGGAGGCAGCAGATTCAACATGTTACCTGGATTATAAGATCAGGAAATATGGGACAGTTGGAACATGAGTTCAAGTACTGATTATTTCTAAATGTAGTTGAAACATGGATTTATTACTGAACAGAGCCACCGGGCTCCGACGAAACGAAACTACCATAAAAGCACCACAAAGAGATGCAAAAAGCAACAACAAATAGATGCTAAACAACCACAAAGTGACACAAAATGACCAGGAAGAGACAGTAAAACAACCTCAAAGATGTAAACAACTACAAACAATCAAGAAGAGATACAGAATCAACACAGAGAGACAGAACCGTCGTACCGGGATGAGGCGCCTCGCGCTGCTTGTTGTCTGAGCTCTGCTTGTTCTGATGCTTGTTCTGATGCTGGTTCTGATGCTGGTTCTGATGCTGGTTCTTCACTTGGTGCTGGTGGTCTGGATGTTCAGGGGCCGCAGCTCTGTCTGTGTGTTTCAACACATCCAGGAACGGAGGAACAGGGAACTCTGCAGCGTTGAAGAGACAGAAGCAGAGAGAGCAGCGTGAACAGGACGACTTTCAGCTGGAGAACAGGACGTTCGCTTTGTCTCGGTACTGGTGTCTACAGTTTGGATCGGCTCTGTAGAACCTGCAAGGCACTACAAGGGACTGCAGGTAAATGAACTCAACTGTGGAATAAGACACGTCTTTGTTGTTAAGCAGCGTGTCACTTTATATCCCCTCCACTTTTCATCTTGTCTGAACAGTCACTGCACAAAGGGAAGATCTGAACCGGGTCATCAGCACTGGAAGTTTATCATGTGAACACAATCGGGGGAGGAAGAGCCGAGGGAGAGGAAACACTACAGAAACAGGAAGTAAACTGAATAATGAATATAATAGAAACAGAACAGAAGGAAAATTAAAGCGGTTAAAGTTCACACCCAAGTTTCTGAAAACAGCTGCGGGCTGGAGGTGAGGTTCACGAGTCGGGTTTAAGGATCCTAACACTGCTGCCTACTTGTGATACCTGCTATCTTCTCGTAGTCGGGGGTCTGGGAGTCGGAGCTGCTGCTCTCCTCCATCTCCTGCCTCCTCTGTCTCACTGCTCCGTCCAGGTCGATGAAATCACCTGAAAAACTCTGCACACACATTTATTTCTTTATTTCATTTCAAATATTTGGGTTCAGCGTTTTATGGGTCACATGCCAGTGATTTTACATGAACAGCAAACAAAGCAGTGACATGAGGGTCGGACTCAGCAGCAGGGCAAAACTGCAGAAAAGTCTATCAAATCTATAAATATATAAATATATATCATTTTCTTTGATTTTATGAAAAATATCACATATGGCAGGAAATATTGCAATAACTAATATTGTTAAATATTGATATTATTTGCAACTTTGACTCTATTATTGTGCTCAATCTGTTCTATAGTATTGATGTGTCCATGTTTTTGATGTATGTGTTTGACCCACCAGAGGAAAGCGAGGCGTTAGAGGTGACCTCTGACCTCTGAAGCTGTTCTCTGCGGAGGAGGGGATGGGGCTGCTGCATGGACTCTTCTCCTGAATATAAACAGGTACAGTAGTGATATAGATGAAGTTTTCACGGCACAAAAGCTCGTTAATATGAATTCTTGGCAAAACAACTTCCTCAAATCACGTTTATAATACGTTAATAATCAGGTTTCAAACAGCGACTTTCTCCTTTTGAGACAAAACACCTGAATAATGAGTGCACATACTTTATACATAACTTTTTAATCTTAAAGACGTTAGACTCAAGTAAAAGGGAAATTTAAAATTCAAACTTGCTGTCAATTTAAGTCAGGTTTGTATCTGTGTCGTCCAAAAGAAGAAGAGAGGAAACTTCTCAAAAAAGAAACAAAAAGAGACAAAGATGTGAACTAGGAGCTGTGGAAACCAGTCAGTGATTAAACTGCAGTTTATAGCCAGATGTGGGACATCTGTCCTACCTCCAGGTGAAGACAGACGGACATCAGGAACTTGTAGGTGTTGTCTCTGGACAGGAGGGACACGAAGACGTACTGCAACAAAAACACACAACAGTTTAACCGTTTCCAGGTTTGTTCGTGACAGACGTCCGATGCTGACAGTGTTGTTGGATCTCTGATGATGAACAGAATCTGTGTAACTACATGAATTATACCATTTTTATTAGAATCCTTTTATTACATTTTGTGTGAATAAATTTCCTGTTGAGACGAGACGCCGGGTCTGCTCTCTCACCCTGTCGTTTGCGGTGGCGATCACCAGAGCGTTTGGCACCAGGATGGCAGTTTTGGTCTTCTTGATGTGAGTGACCGACACCACTGGGATGGCGATCTGGGACGGACAAACAGCGGGATGAACAGCTGAGCCCTGCAGGGACTCGTTTACTCTAATCCTCATCTGCACTGCGATCGCTGACCAGTAGGAGCCACTAATACAATCTCTGTTTATTGCTAATACAGATCGTGTGAGTTACTGGACAAAACGTCTCTCTCTTGCTAGTGCAGGACATGATCCCTCACTGGCTTCTCATCCATTCAGTTTATCACATGTTTAACTCCAGAGTAACCTCTTCTTTTTTCTATATTTCAGATTATGTTAAACTGTGTTAAATGTATATTCTGTAAACTGTTTTGCGAGAACACTCAAAAAGAGACTATTCTAGTAAAATAAAGGTTAAGTAAAATTTAATTGAAAAATGTCTTGGTTGCACCTCACTAACTTCTTTGTTATCCTTTTACTTCTAAAGTTTCAAATAGATGATGTAGAAAATACATTTTAATAATAATGTATGCTTCCTGTTCACTGTGTCCTGCACCACAGCGAGTACTTCAAAGTTTTCTGTGAAGCTACTCCAGGTAAATGTTAATAATTTAAACCAACATGTCTCATAAAATCAAACCTTCTTTTGGCACCTCAGTGTAGTCACCACAACGCTCAGCATTATTACCTAACATGGGTTCAATTCAAAGTCATCTGAGAGGGAAAAGATTCAGATCACTCAGACGAGTCCTTAACAGTGAGCTCTGTCCCGGTTTATCCAGTTTACAGTACCTTTGTGTCTTTGCCAAACACCTTGGAGTGGAAGCAGATCCAGTGGTCGGAGACAAACATTCGTCCCTGGTAGAGGATGTCTTTCTGCAGAGCGCAGGTGTAACCTGACAAACAGGTAAATAACATCAGGTCACTGAGGGAAATCTGCAAAACACTCTATTTTTAAAGCGTTAGTTTAGTGGAAAAAGGATAGAAAAAAAAAAAGACAGATGTGTGAGATTTATTTTTAATTAAAAAAAGATTTTAAAAATGAAATTGACTTCTTTACTTTTATTTGATTACAGTGGATTGGAATCGGATGGCGTTATTGCTGAATTTAGATTTGCTCCCGCACTCTGTTATGACCTTTAAATCATTATCTAGTGTTTAACAAACAGCTCACAGGTATCAAATGTTCAGCTATTATCTAATCCCTCATTCAGTATTTAAGGTGGAGCGGAGAGTTGTGATCATGAAAGACTTACTCTGTCTGAGCTGTTCCTCTTTGCTGATCTCCTTGAATATTTTATGGTACTGGCAGTTAGTCTTTGAGAGCTGAAACACACACACACACACACACACACACACACACACGGTTAGGATATGCAACATGCTCACACAGACAATGCTGAGTGATACTTGCATATGCATGGGGAAAAAGAAGCTGAGACTTGGCAGATGTTTTTTTTTTTTTTTGAATGCCTGAATATTTTTTGGGGGATTGAAGCTGTCAATCAGTGTTGGCCTCATGTTATGAAATAAACATGAAGCAGCCTATTTAGGATACAATTTAAGTTTTAAGCATAAATATTAATATCAAAATTGATCCCAAGTCACATCAGCGTCAATTAAAGTGCAGGGATGATAGACAAGTGGTATTATATTATTACATTCCACAGTAAAAAATGAAAAATTACTCCGTCATCAATAATACTCAGTAAAATTGAAGCCACACTCCAGGTAAAGATATTCTCACAGCTATTTTTAACACTGAACACATCAACACTGATGGTTGATGGGAGTTGGGAGAACATTTTGGGATGCAGGGGAACTGTCTCAGATTTAGCTTCCAGGGTTCCTGCAGTAAAAGTCTGGCTCATGTTCTCAGTGTTTGGTGATATTTCTCTCTCGTAGACTTTTGGATCGACACGAAAATAAAAAATAAAAAAAGGCTGACAGCTCCATTTACCCAAGCAAAAAATGTTACTTTTTTTACTTGGGAAATTCAGCAAAGAGTGAAGCAATAAAAAGAAAAATCACATTTTCCTGTTTTTTTAGTTGGGTGTTACTGGTCAGCACAGGGGTCATTGATTGTTACCATGGTAACATCGGTCTTCGGCGAGAGTTAGCCTGGGTGTAAGGTGTCTAATGTTTTTGACTTAAAATTAGTCATTTATTTTTGTGAAACAGTTTTATTTTTTTCATATCATATTCCTGAGTTTACGACAGGATATTCGCTTTGTGTCACCAGCTGTGCCCGCCCTTACTGCTGCGTCACAAAGCGCAGCTGTCGCCTAGCAACCTTGACAGAACAATAGCTTCTGATTCAGAAAAACAGAGTGTTAAAGGAAAAAACAAAACAAAACATGATTCACAGAAATAATGCTGAAATAATTCAAAAATAATAATAAAATACATTTGTAGTTAGTTTATATCATGCGGAGTAAGTATGGATTATCCCCAGAGAGGACTGGGCAGGTGTAGGGCTTCTGACCTCTGACCTCTAGGGGGCGTCCAAACTCCCACCAACTATGACCTCATTTAAAAAAAAAATTTTTTTTTAAATCACAGAAATCAATTGAGTGTGTTTGGTTTTATTTTTTATACGAACAAATGAATTAAGAGTTACTTTATTTGCATATAAAAATTTCATGATCAGTATGCTGGCTGTGTGTCTGTATCCTGAGGTCAGAGGTCAGAGGTCAGGTAGTGACCCCGGGAATTTAGCGTCAAAGCCGGCTGGTTGCTAACAAGTTGCTAAAGACGCCTCTTAAAACGTCATGGGAAATAAACGATGGAGCGGGGGAGAAGCAGAGGGAAAGGCAGGAAAAGATTCAGAGAAACTGAAAGTTGAACAAACAAATAAACAAACCATCTATCTCGCCTTTTTTTTTTTTCAAAAGTCGGTCATTCGTCTTGCTAGCATTAGCATTAGCCCGGGGAGGACGATGCTAACGTGGCAGAGGAGGACAGTAACGGCAGCCGTTAACGTCAGTTCAGCCAAGGCCCTGCCACAGACACCCACCTGCTCACCTGCCCCACTCTCATCTACACCTGAGACAGTGACCAGTTTATCAGCCCCAAAATGTATTTATTTTTATTTACTTTTTACCTTTTTTCCCCGCATTGCGAGAATTAAAAATGAATGGAGAGCAAGGACTAGGAAACGCCTTCTCAACACTGGCAGTCAGGGACCAGGACGTTTAAAGATGTGGTGGAGGAGGTTTTCAGGGAGAAAAGCCAGAAAGAAGACCATTACATGAGGTAGGCTTTCTCTCATATTTTCATTCACACATTATGGGCCATCCTAATTAAAGTTTTTATAATATTCTCTGTTGTTTTAATACAATGAGAAGTAGTTAAGCTTGATTTGTTTTGGAAACATTTGACTATTGTGTCATTGCGTCTCTGTACCAGGATGGTTGATATGGTGGAAATCCAGTACGATACAGTTACATACATTACTTGTTGTAGGTCTGCCTAAGCAGAGCAGTATGAATGGATGTGTGTTTATGTTGTGGAAGTGGGGCAGCATCTGCTTGCATAAGCCATTCAGCATCACATTGTAGACTTATATGTTGATACTGGTGTGATACTGGCTCAGGAAAGTACTGCTACAGTCATGTGGTGTAAATCCTGTATGATAGAGAATATCTACAGGTGTTGACATTGTCCCTCAGGTTGTGATCATAGGCTGTAACCTGTCAGGTGTAAATCCTGTATAACCTACATGTAGGGCTGAATGATATGCAAAATAAATATCATACTGCGATTATTTTGGTAGATATTATATATATATATATATATTATGGATATGGTAGTTATTACGGTATTATATATACAGTGTCAGAGTGGTCATTTTTGAATTTCATTTTCACTGAAAAGAAAATGTAAAACTTTATCCCAAGAAGTGTAGCTCCTGTGACTTGGATATTGCACTTGGCCGTATTGTGAGTTCAATAATATTTTGATTAATTGTTCAGCTCTAGCTACAGGTGTTGGCAACAGATAGTTGCCTCCGCTGAGAATCTATAATTCAAAACCTTGGATTACAAGTGTAAGGAGGGAGGGGGGGCTTCCAAGATTTTGTGCCCAGGGGCTTCTGCTCTCTTAATCTGGGGCTGATCCAGAGGACTGTGTTTCTGTGATGAAGAACACTGAGGAAGACGCTAAGCTTTGTCTTCTGTGAAGCATTGTACGAATGTATGAGTCAAACTGAACGTGGATTTAGTTTATCTGTTGTGGACAGTGACATTATTCTTATTTATGTGTTCCAGATTTAGCCAAAGGGATTTTCATCCTTCAGTGCTTCTGCAATTCAATGTTAAAAATAAAAAAACAAAATAAAAAGTAAAAAAAAAAAACAATTAAAATCACACAGATGAAAATCAACCTTACAAACCCTCAGCACCAACAACCTCGACCGTCCTGCCATAGAGTGAGAATGTCACCTGATAGATTTGTGTAGAATTATATCTCATAATGGTTCAGTGCAGTAATATTAATTTATTCAAAGAAGTGAAGGAAGTTCCTCCTCAGGCGAGAAGAGAGACAGCCATTCAGACCAGCATGACCCACATACTGCACAACATGATGCTTTCTGACCGTGTCAGTGATCGTCAATAAGATAATGATGTTGGAAACGAGCCAGTCAGCAGAAATGATGTGTGATCTCACACAGCTGGAAAAACAGCTGTCTGAGAACGGCTCCCACGCTGTCACGTTTATAGGTGTAATAAAAAATAATGTGTCAGGGTTGACTTAGTGACGGCTCACCTGGCTGTAGTGAGACTTCTTCCTCTCTATCTTGGAGTCTGAGTCTGTCTGGACCTGAGTCAGCAGAGAGTGGTCGAAGGTCTTTGACCTGGTGACGACAAGAACAATACACAGAGAGGAATTAACTTGTTATGCAACTAATACGGCATTATATAAATCATTATATTACTGCTTACACGTCTGTCTGTGACCCTTTGTACTCTAATTCAAATGTATTTATATATTATCTATACGCCGTATATTTATACAACTCTACTTTATCAGTGTTACCTGATAAAAGGACCACAAAAAGTCAACATCATGCTTTTACTTTATTCAACAGAGCAGTGCAAAAAAACTCCCAAGGAGCAAAGCAGCAATTTTACTTGAGGCACAATCATGTCTGGTTTGTAATCTCAAATAAAAATGGATATGAGAACCACAAAGTATTCTCTATTTTGAGATGACATAATTAAGAACCAATAACTAACCAAAACATACAAAAACAAACCATATCCTGTTGTTTACCTGACTAACGCTGGTTTCCTCCGGCCTGAGAGCTCCCGTTTCTCCTGGTCAGCAGCCTGCAGAGACTCAATGACCATCCTCCCATTTCTGTGACGCTCCTCCGCCACGTTCTCTAAATCTGAACTACAGACAACAGGAAGTTCCTTGTTTAGCAGGAGCAGAGTAAGAACATATAGAGGTGGGAATGCAGGGATCATTCTGTATCACTACACACCATCAGTTTGTAATGCAGCCTGGCTCTCTCTTATGAAAACTTTCCATGTATTTGGATACACAGGGGAGCCTGAAGACTCCATGATCACCATGGAGTCTAATTTGTGGTTATTCAGTTGAATGGAAATTATAATTTTATAATATATTAATAGTTATTACCATCTTTCAGTGAGGCCCCTAGTTAAGACTTGGGAGATGTTCAGGAGGTTTTTCACTGGGAGCCAAATTATCCACAGAGGTCTCATCCTCTCCGTAACCAACAGAACAGATTATTATACAATAATATAAATATAATATAGAATACAGCAGTTTCACGTTAACAATTTGTGTGTTTCTCTGGCGCTGTTCAGTGGACAGAAGAAGTGTCTGAGGGGCTAGCTGCTAGCCTTGCTGTCGCTAGTGTTAGCCCAGCTTGTTTCTCTGATAACTTCAGATCCAGGCTGATCCGGGCAAGATGTAAAAACTATGTTGTAAAAATGTGGCTTAAAACTGGATAAAAAGTTAATTTTGATGCTTTCGGCAGAAAACCACAACACTGACAGAAGGAGATACGACAGGTGACCAAACGAAACAGGCCGTTACTTTGATGAGAACAACTGATTTCTCTGTGTTTGAAAATTGTTGGAAACATTTGGGATAATGTAAAAACACAACTCAACAAAATATATATCATAGGTCTGGTCATTGTTAGACATCTTAATGTGGAAAACACATATTATACCTGAAGTATCCTGGTACTTAAGATGAGCAGCAAATTTTAGAGTGTCAAAACACTAAAATGGAGATACTGTTTCTAAATGACCTAAATATATCTTTGACATTACTGTACGGGTTTGGGTTACTTATCAGTCAGTGCACTGTATAGACTGATAAGGGGCTCCTGTTATCTTTGATAAGCCATTTTCATCCAGTTTATCAATCAGAGTCAACTCAGGATTATTGTGATTATTGATAGAAAAAAGAGCGCAGGGTGACGTCTTCAGTTCTCTCTGAACAGTCCAAAATACAAATATTTACAAACAGCAAATCTCACATTTGAGGAGCTGGAGCAAGAAAATACTTTTGATCTAATCTATCAAAGTTATTGTTGCTTAATTTTCTGCCAGTTGACTAATCAACGATCGACAATACAACTGCTGCAACACTGCTACTGATAAAAACACAGCTGTTACAACCAGCAGTACATTCAGCACCATTATCCGTGTTTCTATATAATCCATACATCTTCCCTTTGACCCTGTTTGTAGTCAGACACTCACTGATAATCCTTCTCCTCGTGCTTTGCGGTTCTTCTGTTACACTTCCTGCCGTCTTCCTGGGACGTCTGCTGGTTCACACACTGTTCTGTCATCACGCTCAACGTTTTTTACCGAGCGGCCGTCCTGCTGAGAGCTGCCGTGAGAACCGCGAGGTGAACTGACCCTGCAGCCTGATCCTCTGCGCCTTCACCTGCCTGTGGGAGTGTCTGCTGGACCTCCTGGTCTCACATGTCACAGCCAATCAGACGGCAGGACAGGGTGGCGTATGTGTGTCTGTGTGTGTGTGTGTGTGTGTGTATTTAAACCTTTGATCAGTGACATTTTACCCAGCTTTGTTTGGAGAGTAAAGTTTCATTTTTGCTCTGTTCTTTGCTGCTGTAGACTTTAAAACTTGTCTTAGTCTGTTGTGTTCACATGAAGTCTGGGCAGACAGAACATGTTGAGATATTTAGTGTCAGTGGGAACACGGTGTTTTCCCATGTGGCTCTCTGCGTCTCAGTTTACACAGGAACAAAACTCTCTTCTCTTTTTTACCTTTTTTTTTTTTACCTTTCATTGTCTGAACACGATGACATCTGATCAGTTTCCCTTTGCTGATACAGATGTGATCATTTATTTATTTTTTACTGTATAGAGTAATGCAGAAACGGAGGGTCAGGTAGAGAAAACACCTGTTGCATCACTTCTCACTGACTATAGTTCTCTACAATAACAGTCCAGTGAACTAATCCTCTCTTCACACTGACCTGACTTAGGAAAAGGAGCCGTGAGCAAAACATAAACTACTATACCTGAGATCTTAAAACCATATTTTGACAATGAAATTATTTACAAGACGGTTCTTCATAAGTGTTGATATTGTCATTATTAGTCAAGCAACTTCTCCATAGTGTTTTTAGTTAATCATATTAACAAAAATCAGTTGACACTGGGCTTCTGCGTCTCCAGGCAGCTGCCCGTTGCTCATTATTTTAAGTTTGGTAATCCAGTCTTAGGTCCCATCCCATTTCTTGCTCCTGCAAATGTTTCTCCATGTCCTTCCAGGCATTACTTTGTCATTTTACTCAGGCATGCCACCTGCTCCTCTGATCATTTGCTGTGCACTTTCATTAAAACATGTGGTGTGAAACGACCAAACTGCCTTCACAAGCAGGGCTGCAGTGTTGTCAGTGTCAGCAGGCTTACAGATGCCTCCTGGTGGATATTGGTGAACACAACAACTGCTGCCCATTACAATTAAAGTGCCACCACTTCACTGATTCATTAATAATGAGACCAGATTAAATCAAAAAGATACTCAGTGAACCTGCAGAAACAGCTGGTTTTAACCTGAGTTAGGATTGAGGATGAGTTAGTTTGGATTCAGTTTGAATGAGGACATTTGATCGTGTGTGTGTGTGTGTGTGTGTGTGTGTGTGTGTGTGTGTGTGTGTGTGTAAAATCTGAGTGATATCAGCTGTGGGTTACTGGGCCACAATGACAGTCAACAAACATAGAGTCTCTCGTCTCTTTCATGTCAATCTCTATTTGAGCTTTCATTCTGTACCTCAGTTTATCTTTCACACACATTCAAATACACAAATACCTGCACTATATAGAGCATAAAATACACTGATGTTCACACAAATACACACATCTGTAAGGAGCCTCTGTACATCTGTACACAATTGCTTTTCCCTGCTTGTGAGGACATAATACATTTCTTAACCTTAAAGGAAAAGTTATTTTTGGGGAACAGGTTTTCACCTTTGCCCTGAGAACTGAGAAGATTGTAAGTGTCATGTTTGCACATAGGGAGCTGGAGTAAGTATGTAGTTAGCCTAGCTTAGCATAAAGACTGGAAGCAGAGGGAAACTGCTAGCCTGCCAGATTTTTCATATCCAGTAATTTACTGACTGACAAACACCCCTTTAGTGACTGTGTGACACAGACACACACACACACACACACACACACACACACACACACAAAATGCTGCAATTGCTGAACTGTTTGTCTTTCATTTAGTTTTACTTTTAACTTTACTGATTCATCTTTTTTGTTTTTCCCATTTCTGATATTATTTTAAAATGAATAGTTTATAATGATTAGATATTTATTGAATTGCTGCACATTGTGTTGACATTCTGCATATATTGCAGGTATTTTCATTTTTCTTATCTGTTATTGCTGTTTTTAATATCCCTGCTGAGCTGTTTTTGTTTAAACAACAATGCAATAATGATTAATTCACGTTATAACATCCAGTGCTGGACAATTCAATTCCAACTGGAAATAAAGATGAGGAGATTTAATTTAATTTAGTTGCTTTGGCTGATTCAGATTTAGTGACGTACAGTTGGACGATAGTGACTGAAGACTGCAGAGTCTCCTGCGTGTTGTGCTGTGTAAACAGAGGCCAGACGCCCTTTGAAACACAAACACAAACTGCATGAGCTGCAACTCGGGGTTCTGTCATTGAAAAAGTGACATGTCAACACGGGACGTCTCAGACTGCCTTTTTTTTAACTTGGTAAAGTTTTAAACACCATATTAAACGCTTGGAGTAACTCCTTTAATTTCAGATTATATTGCAAATGTATTCTTTTCAGGGTCATAACAAAGAAGATGTGTGTGTTTACGTAGGTTTGTGTTGGTAAGAATATTTGATCCACAAAAGGGGATCCTGAGACAAAACATTCTGGAGCCACTGCTCTAACAGGAGAAATCAGAAAACTCCTCCAGGTTAAACTGGGTCACAACAGAGGTGGACAGATACAAACGACTACGGGTGGACAATCTGACAGAAAGGTCACATGACAATCTGTTTGAGAGAATGGCGATCAGCGATCAGGATCACAATCTTCACTCTGTTTCTACTGATTTTACCGTGAAAGTCCTGACCGGAAGTTATGATTCATATCGCTTTCTTCTGATGTTTGTCGCCAAGCTCGCCAAGGCTGCAGAGCTGAACCAGGACTGCCATCGCCAGCTGCAGTTAGCGGGCTAGCTGTTTAACAGTTGACGGTGGGCTGGTTAGCAGCGACTGAGCTTTTTGGAATTAGATCTGTACAATTCATCTGAAGGGTAGATCGTATGCCAAAGCAAGATAAACCACAATATAAGATCATTAGATCGCTCACCCCTACAAACAACCCATAATGATGCAACACTCCCTTCATAGCAACAGGCTCATGCTGTTGGAAAACACAGATGTNTCTGAAGGGTAGATCGTATGCCAAAGCAAGATAAACCACAATATAAGATCATCAGATCGCTCACCCCTACAAACAACCCATAATGATGGGTAGTCCTCACTTCTTTTAAAGAACGTAATTTATGAGAGTGTCACTAGTTCTGCAGGTATTTGGTCAAATTTGACAAATTAAAATTAACAAATTTTTATAAAATGTTTACAAATAATTTTCACTTGATAATGAAAAGATAAAAAGTAAGAGATTTCCTCAAAGGAAATGAAGGGGGTAACCAGCATCAGTAGAATTCATCATCTTGGAACCATGATTGTCAGTACAAGGTTTTGAGTCAATCCATCACGTACATCTTTACCCGAACTAGTGAAAATCAACTTTTCTTCTGTCACCACCAGCAGGTCAGGGGGTCGTTAAAGTAAAGATAAATTAGAATTTATCTTTTTGAGATCACAAATATCTGCACTTCACACTGAACCACAACTGCCAATCTGTTGGTGACACCAAAGAAAAAGCCAGGTGATCACCAAAGTCATTAGGACTCATCCTCTGGAGACCATGACTCTGTATAGAATTTCACTGCAGTCCATCCGATAGTTGTCGAGATATTTCATCTGACCGTCAGACTGACTTTGCCCTCTCCATAGCCACGCTGTTATAAACACATTTTTAAAATGAACTGAAGAAGAACAGGGTGTTTAGCATGGACAGAGATAATCAGTGAAAACAGTGCCACCTACAGGAACATGGGAGAACAGTCCTGGAACATTAAAGCTTTTTTTTTTCAAGACACTGCAGGTTGCCATTTTCTTACCAGTGATATCCAGCTGGGTGGGACGGTGCACAGGAAAGTTTGGACATCGTGCTTCTTCTTTTGAGAGGAAACACGTCGTCTACGCTGTAGTTCTCCATGACAACAACACAATCACTGGCTGACTCTTGACTTACAGCTCACATCTGTATTTGACTGGACCAAGTCCTAGTCTGTGTTATGTTGTTTTGGATTAGCTTGTGTGTATTTGACTCAAATATATACTGGTGTGGTCACAAAGGACACGCCTCCTAACCCAGTGCAACATGTTACATCTCCCGCCTGTCAGTCTGTACAGTGGCTGTGTTTGTTTGGTTTGATGACAGTACAGTGCAACAGTCATATAGACTTTTCACTGACCCCTCTTCTTCCTCCTCCTGCTGCTGCCCCAAATCTCTTATCAGAGTCTCTGGTCAGTGATTGACAAACTCATGACTGTGTTTTTGCACTTTTACTGCAAGAAATGTACATTTCGAAAGAAGATTTGGGGCAAATGTGTTTGTTTGGTGTGTTGCCGAGAGTCATTTGAGGAGGTGGATGTCAGTGTCATGTCTTACAGAGGCAGGTCAACGGCATGTTTAGCCTTGTTTAGCACTGGAAAGTCATCAGAAGTGGGAAAAATACACTTTCAGCCATATCCATTCTTATTTACACATTGTACCTTCCTAGAAAATAAGACAGTTCAGCTTCAAGTTTCTATAGATTAGATTTTCAGCAACAATACAGCAGCAAACAACTAACTAAACAACACTGCAGTACACAGCATTCAGGTGAAAGCAATTTCCTCCACTGAAGAAACCACGTTTTCCATCTAAAAGGCCTCCGACAAAGAGAGGTATAAGACCAGAGCACAGGCGGACTGACCATGGGGACTACTGGCTCAAACCCCAGTCTGCTAGTGGACCGTCATAATCTCCATAAAATTTTTTTAAGTTTTTACCGACTCCGTCAGTGTCATTCATGCAGCTGGTCCCAGCGAGTCAGTCCAAGGGTGAATTTCTTTCCCAGTCTGACTGCGTAACCTATACTGGTCTAGCTTTACAGAGATGGAGAACCTTATGTCATAATGTCTGGTTTTCATTACAGTAGACGTGATAATGTTTGCAAACTTTCTGTCACTCGTATCATGAATTTGCTCTGTAAATATTGTTATCGTTAGCAGGCTCACCGCCAGCATTGCCGTGAAGCATATCACGGCAATGCTATCGTTGGCTAATGGTTGAGGCTGGATTGTTTTTGTTGGGGGCCAGAGGTGTAGCCGACGAAGTGGTCTGGTGGTGTAGTGCGACATCTAGTGGCCAGTGAAGCTTTAAGGGGCAGTTTATTTGCACGTATTTATCTGCGGAGGTATTTATTGATAAAAACCAATAAGGAAATAACGCTTATATTTTAATAATGTTCAAACATGTCAAAGGATTTAAAGGAATAAAATCCGAAGGCAAATCTAAATTGAAACAGCTCAGGATAAGGAAATAAATAAAAGTGTTAGTGTATTTATGACTTTCGTAATGGTTCTTGCTGATTCCCGCTGGTTTCTCATGTACTGTTGGTATCACCTTGTGTAAATTATCCGGGCTCTCAGCTCCCAGCTCATTGGTTCCCACTGAAGACTTAAAATAAACCTCACAAAGATAGTTTCAGTAATTTCCTAAAACAGCAGCTCAGTGTGGTTTTATGTGTGCATTTGTTTGGGGTGCTTGGCGCTCTAGTGAGTATTTAGGACAGCAGGACGGTGTGTGTGTGTGTGTGTGTGTGTGTGTGTGTGTGTGTGTGTGTGTGTGTGTGAGACAGAATAAACTACAGTGTGTGTGTTCATGATAACGAAGCAGCTCCGTGGCACAGAGCAATAAGGCTTCAGATACACACACACTACTCGTTAGTAGGAGACAATCATTGTTGTTTTGGGGGTTTTCAAAGGATTTGTTGACAATAAGAAAACTTATCCCTTAATGTCGCACAGAAGAGATGTTAACAGGAGCAGACAGCAGTGTTTTGTGAGTCTATTGGTACACAGAATAAATCAAGTCCAAACTAAAAGAGTTCTCAACAGTGACACAAAATACTGGCTCAAAAACCCCGACACTGGACACAGTTTCCCTCCCAGAAATGAGCTGCCAGGAGCTCCTCTAGAACCAATGACTTCCAATAAATCCCTGCATCTAATTCATTCAGTGCAAATTTCTTCTCAATGAACCCACTCTGCTTCCCTCGACAGCTGCAATAACACACACACACACAACTAAACACTTATCTCACTGTGTGTGCACTCTACTGTCTTTCTCTAGTTTACCCAGCTTCTCCAGGATGATTGAAGTTTCATACAGTTCATACACTCTGTCTGTGTACTGAACGTGAGCTCCTGGCGTATTTACGGTGTCGTGTATCTGTATTTATTCCACTCATTCCTTTAAGTGACTCTGATAATGAATTGCTTTCTGCGTCGACTGTTCAGGTTTGCAAAACACTACTTCTTCACGACACCCACACAGCGCCAGAGAGAGAGACGGAGAGAGGCGGCATGTCTTTGAATATTTCTTCATCACACCAACAGCAGTCAGCTCAGTGACAACACGTTTCATTCATGTCAGTTTATTCCTCATCTGTTTTTTCCCCTTTTTAATCCATCTATCGGAGACTGTATAGTTTTATACCGTGAAGAAAGAAAACACAAATACACAAACACAATAAATATCTCTCTCACACTTCAGTCGCTGAATAGCTGACAGATGTTTATCTTTTCTGTAGGAATGAATCTTCTGTATCCAACTCGTCCTGCAATAGATCCTCCTTCATGGAAGTTATGAAGTAGAGCTTTCGCAACTTTTTCCAACAGTTTTATTTGTCACAATTCAAGATGCTGAGGTCGATGGTTAATGGATTGATGGATGATTTTTTTTTTTCTGGACATGAGATATTAAAATACATACAGACAAAATAAGTACAATTATGTATCCACTTAAAATGTCAGCACTAACAATAATAAACTAAAGTAAATCAAGCTGGCATCACTTCCAGAACTCTAATTAAACATAACACAAATAAACATTCAAGCGCCATGCAACAATAACAGGCTAACCAAATAACTGCTATAATATTAACCACAATAAAGCAAGTCACTACAGCCTCTAAAATTACCATAAGATTCAATGAACACCTCTCAAACAAAACCTCAGCGTTATAATCTTTCCATCGTGGGACTCTCGTATTAGACTGGGTCCAGTTGCGCTTGGTGTACCTAATAATCTGGCAACGCAGTGTAATTTATCATTTACATCATAGTATAATAGCTTTATTTTTCTGGTGTTGTGTTAGTTGTTGGGTTGTTGAAGCTGTTGAATGGGCTACAGCCCTGATGTGTCCGTCAACCCCAGGGGATGATTGTGTGGGTTGATAATAGCACAGAAAACCCAGACAGGAGCATCAGTCCAGTAAATTTCAGCCAATCCAATCAGTTACACCTGAGTTCATGTTTAAACAATTAAACAAACACTGCAGCGCCCCCCTCTGGCCAAACAAGGATATTTTCTGACAGAAATCTTTTCTTTTTTTTTTGTGGCTTCAGAGATTCTTTTTATTCACAGTAAGAGACAGAAAATAAAACCCTGTGGCCACTAGGTTTATATAGAATATTAAAATAAACACTCAGACACTAATACTACACTAATTATGTTATTTCTATTTTTTATTCAGAAACATAAATCTGTAAATGTGTGATCGTTTTGGGGAGTGATTTTTTAAAACCTTTATTTGTAGTGTTGTATTATAATTTTAATAAATAGGCTGTAGGAGTATATGTGTTTATTACAAATGGGACCTAATACCCACCGAGCACCTCCATCAGTCAGAAATTCACAGCTGTCATTCAGCCTGTGTTGTAGTTAGTGAAGGGCCAGGCCTGATCCAGCAGCCTATAACAGACCTGCATGTGTGCACCTACAGCTCGGTGCTCTCTGCCTCACTGCGGCGGGCTGACAATGACTTGAATGCTGATTATTGTGGAGATCGACAAAGGAGACAAGGAAAGGAGGAGATGAACCGTTTCCTGAGAGCTGGGCAGAATGGAGGGCTGCTGACCGACTGCAGGGAGCTGTCACCCAACCACACCGTCTCCTCCTCCTCCTCCTCTTCCTCCTCCTCCTCCTCCTCCTCCTCCACCGCCTCCTCCATCTCCATCACCTCCTCCTCCTCCAGCGCCGCTGGCTCAGCCGACAGACACGCGGCCCTGCCCTCGCTCCAGACCCGGGGACCTGGCGGCGGCGGCGGCAGCGGCGGGTCGGAGCCGAGGAGATCCGCGCTTAAACGCAGCCGAGCCGGCCGGGAGGGACGAGAGGAACCGGAAGCGGCAGCGGCGGCGGATCAGTCAGCGGCTGCCGTCGCGGTGCGCGGCGGCGGCGGTGGAGAGGTGTGCGTCGGGAAGCAGCAGCAGCAGCAGCGGCGTCGGGAGGCTCAAGGACGCAGCGTCGGTGGAGAAGGTCTGGAGATGATTTCAGCGGTCAGCAGAGAGGCGGACGGCGGCGGCGGCGGCGGCAACAATAACAACAACGGCGTCTCCGAAGTGACCACGGCCTCTCCTTCTGCGACATGCGCCAAAGGCAAGGAGGAGAGGAAGGGGAAAAACGTGATCCGGGGCTGGAAGAGGGAGAGAGACAGGGAGAGGGACAGGGAGAGGGACGCCGCCGCTCCCCCTGCCGCTCCTCCTGTCCGGACTAGGAAGGAGAAGCCCGGCGATGGCTCGTCTCCTCCTCCCTCCGTCTTCCTCTCGTCGTCCGCCCTGCCCGAGCATCATCTGTGCCGCGACGGCCCCGGACACTGCCACTGCGCCTCTCCGGACTCCAGAATCATGGGAGATAATAGCAACACTAACAACGTAAACAATAACAACAATAGCGGGAGTAACGGCGGCGGTGCTGCCAATAAAACCGCGCTGGATTGTGGAGTTAAAAGCGGCGGTGGCGCTATTGTTGTCAGGCGGCAGCATGACGACACACCGGCCGCCAAGAAACACAGAGGAGCCGAGAAGGTAAGCCGCTTTTATTGTCTGGAGGCCAATAATAACACACATCAACAACAGAAACACACGCACAGCAGCTATCGCTTCACACCTGCAGCTGCTTCATCCTGCATGAAACACATCCAGGCAGAATTCCTCCATTTTAAGGTGGAAAACATTGAAATAGGCTCTAAAGAGAGAAAAAAGAATATTTTTGATATTCAGAGCACATCACAGTCAGTGAGATGCAGGTGTGAAGGCCACAAAGAAGCCTGTACAGCAGCAGACACACAGTAGGGATGGTTAATGGATGGATGAATGGATGGAGGGATGACCGCCTGCCTGCCACATGATATTTATTTCCTATTGTTGTTGCCCAGCTGGTGTCATTGTTCCCGGTCTATCTGTCTCACTGTCTGTCTGCTGCTATTTACCATGCTGAGGTACACATTTTTTTTTGTCTTTCTTCTTTTGGAGGGTGAGATGAAGAGAGAAGGAAGAGGAAGAGGAGGGGGGGGAGGCGGCGGCAGCAGCAGCAGCATAGTGTGTCCTCCATCTCCATCCTCCTCCTCCTCCTCCCCCTTTCGGAAACCATTTAATCCAGTCATCCTTGTTTTTGCTGGAGATTAGGGGAGAAGGCAACTATTTACATGTGCAGTGGCAACTCAGCAAAGGCGTGAAGGAATCAGGATGAAGCTCTTCTGTAAACCCCGCACAGGCTTTGTTTGCTCATTTCATTAGGGGGGAAAAGACACATGATGTCAAAATGAATCAGGTTTCAGAGCGTCGGTCACAATCTTTGTAAGTAAGACAGAAATACTGCAGGTTGACAGCTGGGACTGCTGACGTGTGACGTTTGAGCTCTCTAGTCATTTAAGGGGAATAACGGAAGACGTGGCCACTTGTGAAATCGTTCCTGAGTTTAAGTCTTCCTGAGGAGAGACAAAGATGGAGGCAGATGGAGGGATGGGTGGAGAAGTGGAGAGGTGAAGTGGGGGAAAGAGATGTTTGATAGAGAGGGAGGAATTGGACGTGACAGCAGAGGACACAGCCTGAAAGAGTCTGAAAGACGCAGGAAAAAAAAAAAAAAGAAAAGAAAAAAGAAACAGATGGAGGATGTCCAGAAGGAGTTTTTTGGGGGCTTCTTCGTGGATGCAGGATTAGACGAGGCAGGGAAAAACCGAAGCGTCCTCCCTGCTGCTGGCAGATGCTGCTGACAGGAGGAACGCTGGCCTGCCCCGGCTGCTTTGTTTATTTGTTGATCTGAAGGATTCCCATTCGGCGGTGAAACACTTACACACACACACACACACACACACACAGTCACGCGGAGCTCTGTGGTGGCTGTAATTCATTCCCTGTCAACAGTAATCTGGGCTCCACTCAAGAGTTTTAGTGTCCTGTGATGGTTGTAGTGCAGCTCCACCGGCTTCTCACACCTTTAAACGCTGAAAACCAGGATTACTGTTGACGTTCAAATGGAAACACTCAACGATAACCTGCTAATTATTGGCACAAACGACGGTTACCTGCAGACATGACCCGGAAATGATTTGCTTTACAAAACCTCACACTGAGAGTGGGAGGCGCACTCACACAGTTTCAGAAACCTGGAACTGAAGACTCAGATTTTTGCAGAGTTATGACCATATTTTAATTTGGGCAGCGTTCTTGAATGGTTGCTTCTGCTGTTTATAGAAACACATGAGCATTTAGATTCATACTTGACCTTGAAAAACATTTATCTGTGATAAAATATTCTAAACTCATGGTTCAGTTACTCCCCTCTCCCCTCTGTGGGGAACATGCAGTGTGGGATACAGTCAGATACTTTGGATAGAAGCTGAGATAAACTGAATCTTTGCATTGCTCAAAATGAAATACTGAAAAAAGTATTGTCACCCAAACGCAGGCCAAGCTTCTGTGGTTATTTATTCATCTAAAGGATTCGAGGAAAGAAATCTGTTCAAGCAGTAACACAAAACAACCCGGAGGCAAAACACTGGACTTCGACACTGGAGGCAGAAGCTTGTGTCGCCCATGTTGTTAGGTTATATGACTGCAACTAACAACTGTTCTCATTATTAATGAATCTGACACTCATTTTCGTGATTAATCTCTTAACAAAATAGCAAAAGCAAAATATTAATTTTCCCAAGTTAATAGTGTTCATATTATATATTATCTTGTTTTATCCAGCTATGACTGAAACCCAAAAAGTCAGTTCATTGTCCAAGAAAACTAGCAAATATAGACATTTCAAAGGCATGAAACCAGTGAATTTTGGGCATTTTTTCATAAAGAATGATTAACGATGAATTGATTATCTAAATAATTGGCTAATCTATTAGTCATGTAATCTTTTCAGCTCTAGTCCACAAGAACACCTGCTCAGAGAAGATATGTTGCTCATGATAAAGTTTCCTGAGCAGATCCGTAAAAACGTTAATCAGGCTTTAGTTTCCAGGAGTGGATGTTGTGAGAAAACTCATTTTTTTTAGTTGTTATTTTGATTTGAAAATAAAAACGTAAACCAGGCGGCGTTGTGTTTTTTACACAACGTATTTGATAATGTTGGAAAGAGACAGAGTTTGACAGAAATACTTAAAATCAAACTGCATCTTTAGTGTTTTCAGATGAGAAGTTCTTCTCCTCAAAAACTGTAATACATTTTTTAATGTCTTTGGGCCAGAGTTTAGAAAAGACTGATTACATAAGGTTTATAATATTTTTATCATAGGGTGTTTGCAAACCTTGACAATCAAATATTTTCTCCCTGCAGATATTTTGACCGGTTGCAGCAGGAAAAGTTCAGGTGCAACAATGACGAAGCTAAAAGGAACGTAACCATTAACTGATGTTGTTAATTACACCTGTTTAATCAGTCACAATGAGAACATTGTAGGTTTTCTGCTGAGGATATTTACCCAGGACCGAAGTCTGTATAAGACAGCTGCATGATAGATGATTGACATCAACATGAACCCTTCGTAGACCTGACTGCATGAACGCACCACTTGCTCTACTGTCATCACGCTCTTTGCATCTGATTTCCAAACTGAGAAGAAAAAAACATGACAGCTGCTCCAGAAATATCACGTTTCATTTTACTTAAATCCCGATCCAGACATCTGTCCACCTGCTCAGACACGTCCCACGACCTGAGCGTCTGTCGTTTGAGGTTGAAGTTCAGCCTTCAAAATAAATGTCACTCTTCATCCTGTATCTTGGTTTGAAGTTTAGTGTGTTTGATTATTCCAACAGTTTAATTGCAGTTTACAATTTACAGTTTCAGAGCAGTGAAATTAATCAGATTAAACTAAATTGAGTCAAATTGTTAACATGATTAAATTAAATTTAATCAAAATTTAAATAACTACACCCCTGCTGACAGGAAGAATTAGTGGAAACACTGACTGCATAAAATTGTTGTATAGTTGGACAAAGCCTGGATATTACACAAAGCTTAGATAATACAACCTCCATATTAAATAATTAATAATTCACAGAGTAGGCAGGAGCTGCTGTGTGATCAGTTATGAAGCTCTGAACTTTCTCATGTCTTTTTTATGATTTTCAGTTTGTTGAGGATCAATTTCTTCTTTCTAAACTCTAAAATCTTTACTGGAGTAAAAGAGTGGAGTATAAGCGTTTGCAACATTAAATAATAATAACAAAATGTTTCAGAAATACTTCACTGTGTTCACTTTATTTCCATCATTCGCGCAGCCCTGCAGGCGGATTCACGTGTAGCTCTGTTCCGATTCCATCGTTTCACTCATGAATTATGTCACTTTGTCCCATTTTCTTTCCACTTGTAAATCTCAAGATGTGTGTCAGTTCTTCAGTACAAAGATTTCTTCACCAGTCAGTAGCCTTTGGTCTTTGGTTTCAGGGCAACTATTGTCCCCTAGTCCCATATCTTTTTAAAGTACTGCTTCCTAATACATTGTTTTTAGAGAAATGACAGATAAAATACCATTTAACCCACAGGGAACTTATATTTTACTATTTGTTGTGGCACTAAAACATAGTTATTTTCAAACATTTCCAAAAAATGTGTGAGTGATCTGCTGTACATGAAGTGATCCACACTGTTTATATTGAACCTTCAGTGTAATATAGAAGCAAATCAAATGTTTTTCAGTAGAATTTCTCCAATATTCGTGGATTGTTGTGTCTTCCACGTTTTGCCTCTGAGGAAAGGATGGAGGAATTTTATTTTGGATTTCATTGTAGCTGATAAGACATGATACCCTGTTTTCTTCATGATGGATCATTCCTGTAATGGAAATTTAATAGTTTTGAAAAATTCTCTTTTTGAATTTATAAGTAATTATAGTTTGTCGTATGTTCGTCTCGGTTGATGTTTGTCTGGGCGTCACGAGGTTCAGGACACATTCAGTCAGTCATTCAAAAAGCAGGACTAGGACTTTGGCACGTCATTATTTGCAGGTATTTAGTCTTAAACCAAAGTATTGGACATATTTGAGTTTTGACCTGATGATGAATATCTGGACTAACTTTAATGCCGATCCATCCAACAGTTGACATGTTTCACTCAAAACCAGGATGTATTGTCTGGGAACCATGAATGTCTCAACTAGTTTTTATACTAATCCACTAAATAGATTGTGATTCATTTAAACAGGATACGTGACAACTTGTTGTAAAAGTGAGGACTTTATTGATCTGAAGTCGTTAGGAATCAAAGTCCTTAAGAGATCATCCTCAGGGGACCATGAATGTCTGTGCAACATTTTACAGCAGTCCACTGAACGGTTGTTTAGATGTTGCAGTGGATCTGAGTGAAGCCACCGTGCGAAGCTGTCATTCCTAGAGTCACGCCGCCGGCTCGGCTAAAAATAAACACACTAAAGGGTCAAATTTAAAGATGTCTGACAGAAATAAAAGCAGTTCTGCTGCCGCAGAGACTCGGACTTTCATCTGCATGACAATAAGATGCACTTGAGTTTGTCTGTGAGTGACAGCGGCTGCTCTGATATCACCTCCTGTCTGTCTGTCAGTCC